TTCGCGAAGGGCTCTACCTCCAGGAACTGCTCCAGGAGGCGAAAATTGCGACATCTGCGAGCTTCAAACTTCACTGCGACAACCAGAGCGCGATAAATATCGCGAACAAGCCTGGCTTCGTCAACCGCACCAAGCACATCGCACTCCGCTACTTCTTAGTCAAAGACGAAGTCGACAAGGGCAAAGTCATCTTGACTTACTGCCCCACTGGTGACATGGCAGCTGACTTCCTCACCAAGAAACTACCATGTCAGCAGTACCATCACTGCGGAAACATATGCGGCATAACCAAGCGCGTCAAGACTTCGCTCCTCCAGGAATGAAGGGGAGTGTTACGATATGGAACTGTTGAATAAACATTCCTGAGTAACGAATCCTTAACGCGAAGATAACTGCAGCGAGGACGCAGACCGAGCGACAAGACAGTTATCGAAGACAGTTTACAAGCAGGAAGAATTCGAAGTGCAAAGCGCGGGAAAACTTCAAACGGTTACCGAACCGCGCACAATTACCGAAACGCACGGTTGCAATCCTGCATTAGATTAGCCCTAAGGGGAATGTACCCCCTCAGAGTACATGGCTAGCTAGGACCTTTCGTATTCCACTGTATTCCTATATAAACCCGTGTACCGCATTGTATTAGTCACTTCTGTCGAGATTTAAATCTCATTCTAGTGACAGAGTCCGTACCCGACATTACCAAGCAAACCTTCCGCTGCTACACTCCGTGCGATCAACCTGAGACGATCCTATAAGACGGTTCAGATTGTATCAGATATATTAAAATATCGGAATGGACACGTGGCGATTTTCTTTGCCTGTAGTCATGAAACTTGACTAATCTGAATATTGATTGTAAAAATCCGTCTGAAGTACCACTATTTGGAACAACTTGTGAGTAAAAATAGATAAATTTCCTGCAATACCCACCTAGTATATGTCAAAATAGGCTCTTAACTCTTGACTTAGTAACCTAGGGTTTGCCTAGGAAGCATTAGTGTCGAGGGTGAGCATGGCGAGAGAATTGGGCAAAGAGGAGGTTTCACTATTGAGCAAGGTACAAATAGGAAACAAGGGAGGTGCACCACCTACAAGAAATACCACAAACACTACAGTAGCTACAGCAAACAGTTTATATAATAAACATAAGTTTAACACACCCCCTAAACTGTTAGCTGCAGAAACCAGTATCAGGACACCCCCTGAAGCGGTACACCAGGCGCAGCGGAAAACAACAGAGAGGTAAGTGAGGAGGAGGAGGAAGTAACAAGGAGGAGGTGAGAGAGAGAGATGAGGAGAGGAGGTGGGGGGAGCCTAGCGCGGCTAGCCCCTCTTACGAACCCCCGTTTTACCAAGGGGGGGGGGGGTGAGAGAGGGATGAGGAGAGGAGGTGGGGGGGAGCCACGCGGCGAACCCCTCTTACGAACCCCCGTTTTACCAAGGGGGGGGGGTGAGAGGGGGATGAGGAGAGGAGGTGGGGGGAGCCACGCGGCGAACCCCTCTTACGAACCCCCAAGTCCACACCCCCTTTCAGCCACCCCCTTCAACCACACCCCCTTTCAGCCACCCCCTTAAACCTCACCCCCCTTGTTCAGCCGCCACCCGGAACCACTCCCCTTCCACCACCCCCTCACCCTCCCCCCACAGCGGCACGTGCGGCAGTGAGAGAGAGAGGAGGGGCGACAACAGGTTGCTCACACCCGCCACCCCAAACCCTCCCCCCCCCCACTGCTGCAAGTGCAGCAGGGAGAGAGAAGGGAAGGCGAGTGGCGGCTGGCGGTGCAGCGTCTCTCCCGCCACTTCCCCCTCACCGTCCACCACCCCAACCACGTCCCCCCACTGTCTGCCACCCCAACCACGTCCCCCCCACTGTCCACCACCCTCAACACCTCTCCCAGTAGCAGAAGCGCAGAGGGAGGCGTGGGTGAGGCAAGGGGGGGGGTGCAAGCGCGGCTGCAGAAGGGCCGACGGCTGCATTTGGGCCGATGGGGACACGAGAAGGCGAACAGCGGCGGCAGGAGCTGTGTCACCCACGCGCCACCCCCACACCTCCCCCCCCCCCCCCCTTTTCACTGGCGTACGAGCAGCAGGTGCGGGGCAAGGGAGCGGCGCACGGCTGCGCGCGGCTGTGCGCGGCTTCACACGGCCGAACGCAGCTGCGTGCGGCTGTGCGTGGCTCCTCCGGCTGCTCGTAACGGGACGAGGGGCGGGGCAGCGCGGGACGAGGCGGGTGACGAGGCGACGGGACGACGGGACGACGGGGCAGCGCGAGCCACCCAGCTCGTCGCCATGACAGCAGGGTCGACGGGGCGACGGCGCAGCACGACGGGTGCAGCGCGACTGGTGCAGCAAAAACAGCGCCAGCATCTGCAAATATCACGCTACTGGAAGTAGGAACCGCGACAGCAGAACAGTAGACCGCCATGGACGATGGCGGGTTTAGTGGGCCCATGATGATTAGGTCCTAGGAGGGACCGGCTGTGATAACATGTCAAAATAGGCTCTTAACTCTTGACTTAGTAACCTAGGGTTTGCCTAGGAAGCATTAGTGTCGAGGGTGAGCATGGCGAGAGAATTGGGGAAAGAGGAGGTTTCACTATTGAGCAAGGTACAAATAGGAAACAAGGGAGGTGCACCACCTACAAGAAATACCACAAACACTACAGTAGCTACAGCAAACAGTTTATATAATAAACATAAGTTTAACAGTATATGCTTACCCTTATTTCTACATTAACCCTTGAAGAGCTGATGGATACCCTCACTACACGAAGGCGATGCCACATGGCGGAGCAAGAGACTGCCACGCTGTTCTCGGTTGCGATGGGGTTCAGACTCACCTTGCTCAATCCTGAGGAGAGCAATACGCGGCATGCCCATGGCCCTCCATCATCACCTCTCTCTCTCCCCGAGCTCGTTCCGGCGTGGTACTGGTGACCAGTTGCAGTGACCCGCGTGACACAAACTTTTTGACTCGTTGAGCAAATTGTCGGCGAGCCAGTGGCGTAACATGCCACGCTGGAACGATCAGGGGCGAAATCAAAACTTCATGTCGTGCAGGTTTCGCTAATCCAAAAGTGGTTTACGATTCGGTGAAATGGTCCTCGGGATCGTGTACCACCTCCACGTCCACAACTGCTTCATGGATGAGCAGCACTGTATATCGAGTCCACATGGGTTCCGTAACTGGTCCACGGCTGGTCCGCGCTGGTCCCCACTGGGCCCAGCTGCGTTTTGACGCACCCCCCTGAAATCATTCCAGCTGACATGCAGGGGCTGTTCGCCAGCACTAATGAAGCAAAAAACCATGGGATTACGACGGGATCAGGAAGGTGGGTCTCGCCTTCCTGATCCCATCCGTTAGGATTCGTTTACCTCCGTCAGCCTGGTCAGCCCGTTAAAAAGGTGCCGAGCCTCCCCAAACGTCCAAACCAACAATCAAAGTGGGTGTCTGGCGAACGCCCCCATTTGTCCACCAAAACGAACTGCTCGACGGCATATGGAAGCGGGGACGCAACTTCGTCCCAAGGCAAAGTTCCATCCCCAAGCCACGCCATCGCCGTGCCCCGTTTTTCGAAGCACAGCGATGGCACAGCCGTCGCATTGCCGTTCAGTGGGGAACCTCTGAACAAGCCATTTGTTTGACAAAGGGGGGTTCAAATACCCCCCATTTTTCCCCTCCCGAACACACCTTCGATGTGGCCCCTGCGCATGACTTGGTCGAAATCGTTCGCAAATCGTTGTGTTTGAGCGGGGTGGGTTTTATTTGCGTTTTTAACCCACGTTGAGCAATTTTTGGTCAGCGGGCAGCACAAGGGTCAGTGAGGCTAAACTTTCGCGCTATTGGGGGGAAGGTGGGGATGGACCTTCCCGATGCGGTTGCGTAATTTCGCCTTTCGGGCGCGCGAAGTTTCCGGAGCGGCATTACGCCCAAACCTCGGAGGAGGGTTCCGCCCCCGTTTCCAGATGCGGTCGCGATGCCGATGCCATCGTTTTCTGTTCAAGAAACGATTTGCTGGCGAACAGCACCGCAATTTCATTTCACAGCAGCAATTTCTTCCAGTCTTCACTCCAGAAGTCACAATCTCCAGTTTTCACAGGGCATTCAATCTCTGTCGCTGAAGCTTGTGCGTGCCATTAGACTATTTAGTGAAAGGAAAGCTCAGAGATTCCGGGCTTGGCGTTTCAGGCTTTCACTTAATAACTTTGAGCTTTCTTTGTGCTAAATTGCAAGTCACAATGGCGGCCCAAACTGTCGTCTCCTCGTCACTCGCTTCGCCAGCATTCGCCGCCGCGAATGTCTCTTCGCAACAAAATGTTCAATCGCGTCTGAGCCTACTAGTGGCACGTCCGGCTCTGCGGATTAACCGGCAGACGGCCGTCAGCCGGTGCCGGCCGTCAACTCTGACAGTGCGAGCCGCGTCTGACGGTCAAGCGGCAGCGGAGACGGCTGAACCACAGTCGGCATCGTTCGATGCGTCGCTCGTGAGCAAGAACAACGCCTTGGTGCCTGACTCGGAACTGAGCATTACCAAGGTACGCGTTGCGAGAGGAGGATCACCAACTGTACACGTTGTAAGCGACACGAACCAATGTACGCGGTATAAGCGAGAGGAGGATCACCAAGTGTACACGTCGTAAGCGCTGCCGAAGCTTTTCATCGTCAAGATGTACATAGCACTGGGCCAATTTAATTCTGTCCTTAGCAAGTACCTGAGCTGGGCATCAGCAAATGCTTCACTGATTGCCGAGTTATGCGAGTCAAACCGAAACCTGAGACGCCGTTGAGGCGAATCAAGTCAGCAGCTGAAACGCAACTAGGCAGAACTGGGTACGTACCTTGATGATGATGCAATATCAAATCGGATTATGTGATTGAGGGCGAACTAATGCGGCTCAAGGTACTCGATTGAAGACGAACCAAACATGTGTTTGAAGGCGAGTAATGATTCGCGATTGAAGGAGAAGTAAAGTGCGTGACTGAAAGCTAGTAAGGTACGATGAGGCCGTATAAAGCGTGGAGGGGTAATGCTCCCTTCCCTGTTTTCTCTCACCCCGTTCCCAAATCCCCCTTCTCTCCTCGCTCTCCCCTCTCTTCCATCTCTCCCTTCTCTTCCATTTTCCGTTGCCCCTTCTCCCCGGACGTCTTTCGGCACCGTCGGCCTGACAGTGGGCTTTGCTGTTCATCCAGGCTAATCAACCAGCACACAACGCGCCTGCTCATCTCACTCGTCATCTTTCTCTCCCCCTCCCCCCTCTCTACCCTTCTCCCCTCTGTCACTTCTATCCAGACGTCTTTCGGCACAATCGGCGTAACCGTAGGCCTTCTGCTTCTCTACGGCTTTGGCGCCTACTTCCAGCCTACTTCACGCGCCTGCTAATCTCTCTCGTCATCCGTCTCTTCCCCCCCCCCCCTCTCCCCCCTCTTCCCTCTCTCCCCTCTCTCCAGACATCTTACCGCACAATCCGCCTGACCGTAGGTCTGCTTCTGCTCCGGCCCTACGGCTTTGATGCCGACTTCGAGTTCCTCCGGGGCACCATATGCCTCATGCCCGCCTGCCCTCACTTCTTCCTCCCTCCCTCCCTGTCCAATTCTCTTGCTCCAGACGTCGTTTGGCACAATCGGCCTGACTGTAGGCCGTCTGCCCCTCTCCCGCCCCTTCGGCGCCTACTTCCAATTCCTTCCTCCCAGCCTTCATACACCTCCTGCTCACCAAGCCCCCTTCCTCAACCCCATCCCCAATCCCGCCCAACCCCCTCTCCTCTCCACCACCCCCAACCCCCCCCACCACCCCCCCTCCCCTCCCCCTGACGGCGGGCCTGCTGCTTCTCTCCTACGGCTTTGGTGCCTACTTGCCTACTTCTACTTCCTCCCTCGCAGGCCTCAGAATCACCCCCATCCATCCCCGCCCCTCTCCTCTGCAGACGTCGTTCGGCACCATCGGCCTGACGGTGGGGCTGCTGCTGCTGTCCTACGGCTTTGGCGCCTACTTCCAGTTCCTGCCGGGCTCCGAGTCCTCCGCCCTCATGCTCACCTACGGCTTCCCCACTGCGCTCATCGGATTCGCTCTCAAGGTGCGAGTCGAGCTCAATGCATGATATGATCTACAGTATAATATAACCGTTGTGATATTCATGCTGGTTGGCAAGGGCTCTCCAAGTCGTCCGCCCTCATACTCACCCATGGCGTGCATGTGATGCATAGGGTTGAAAGCGGTTCCATGCTGGCTACGCTTGGCGCCCTGGTCTCGTCATAGCCTGTCTTGTACTGGAACCTGCTACACGCCTCCGTCTCAGCATCATCAGCCTGATTGAACTCGTATGCCTCCATGCCTCCCCTCCCCATGTGCAGTATGCGGAACTCAAGCCGGTGCCATGCACATCATATGCTGACGCTGTGGCGCTGAGGGAGACACAGGCTACGCCCATCCTGCAGCAGGTGAGGGGGAAGTGTGCTGAGTGTGGGGTGGGCGTGGGCCCTTCACATGTTGGGTGCTTGGCTCGCCGTGTGGCATTGAACCAAAGTCGGTGCCATGCACATCGTATGCTGACGCTGTGGCTCTGAGGGAGGACAGGCCACGCCCATCCTGCAGCAGGGGAGGGATGCGTGTGCCGAGCATGGGTTCTTAAGCTGGGGGCTGCAGGCTGTGTAGTGTGGGTCATTGACTAGTGTGGCTCTGAGGGAGGACAGGCCACGCCCATCCTGCAGCAGGGGAGGGATGCGTGTGCCGAGCATGGGTTCTTAAGCTGGGGGCTGCAGGCTGTGTAGTGTGGGTCATTGACTAGTGTGGCTCTGAGGGAGGACAGGCCACGCCCATCCTGCAGCAGGGGAGGGATGCGTGTGCCGAGCATGGGTTCTTAAGCTGGGGGCTGCAGGCTGTGTAGTGTGGGTCATTGACTAGTGTGGCTCTGAGGGAGGACAGGCCACGCCCATCTTGCAGCAGGTGAGGGATGCGTGTGCCGAGCATGGGTTCTTAAGCTGGGGGCTGCAGGCTGTGTAGTGTGGGTCATTGACTAGTGTGGCTCTGAGGGAGGACAGGCCACGCCCATCGCTCAGCAAGTGAGGGATGAATGCGCTGAACGTGAGCCCTTACGCTGTGGACCGCTTGGTTGGGTGTGGGTCGGTTGTTGACTAGTGTGCCTCTGAGGAAGACACAAGCCACGACCACTGTGTGCTGCTTGCTCAGCCGGTAACGTTAACGGTCATGCGGTTCATTCGGTTTCTGTAAGCCTGGTTGACTTTTGGCACATCTCTAGACTTGGCTCGGCATGCGAGAGAGGTTGGCTGTAATGGGGGGTCCTTCAGTTGCTGGGCTTGCGGTTAAGAAGTGTGGGTTTCGGCTATAACAGTGGCCACTTTGGGCATCTACCATGCACATGGCCTGCTGGCTTTTGGGTCGACTTAATTATTTGCTTTGGCCAATCGAACCACGTACCATACCATGCACATCGCCTGCTGAGCCAATTTCAGGGTTTTGGTGCGCACGATGCATGCTTCTCCCCCTCCATGCCTCCCTTCACCTCCCTACCCAAGCTGCACAGTGCCATCACTCAGTTCCACGGCTGGAGGAGGTTTTTTTTTTCAAATCGTCTACATGATATGTGTTTTGTCTCCTCCCTCCACCCATCTGCACCGAGTACACAGTGACAGCACGTGGTTCCGCTACGGAGACGAGAAGCATCTGGAGGAAGCTGTCGATTGCATAGTCAGATAGTTCTCTCATTCCATTTCCCCACGCCTCCGTCCACCTGTCTGCCTCCCAGGTGTGCAGTGACGTCAGGCGGTTTTGCTACGGAGACGAGCAACACCTGGACTGGAGGAGGCTCTTGGTTGGTTGTGTAGTTACATTACACGTTTCTCTGCCTCCCCTTCTCCATGCCCCCGTCCACCCCTCTGTCTACCAGGTGCGCAGTGACGTCACGCGGTTCCGCTACGGAGACGAGCAGCACCTGGAGGAGGCTCTCAAGAGAATATTCCGCTACAACCTGGTGAGATCATAGTTTGCTACAACCTGGTGAGATCATAGTTTGCTGCAAACAACCTGGTGAGATAGTAACCTGGTGAGATAGTAACCTGGTGAGATAGTAACCTGGTGAGATAGTAACCTGGTGAGATAGTAACCTGGTGAGATAGTAACCTGGTGAGATAGTAACCTGGTGAGATAGTAACCTGGTGAGATAGTAACCTGGTGAGATAGTAACCTGGTGAGATAGTAACCTGGTGAGATAGTAACCTGGTGAGATAGTAACCTGGTGAGATAGTAACCTGGTGAGATAGTAACCTGGTGCGATAGTAACCTGGTGAGATAGTAACCTGGTGAGATAGTAACCTGGTGAGATAGTAACCTGGTGAGATAGTAACCTGGTGAGATAGTAACCTGGTGAGATAGTAACCTGGTGAGATAGTAACCTGGTGAGATAGTAATTTGCTGCAATCTTGTGATAGTCGGATTGGCCTTGATGCAAAGATACCATCATCATTTTAACCCATTATGTGCATCCATCCCTTCCACCCTTCCTTCCACCCTTCCCTCCACCCTTCCTTCCACCCTTCCTTCCACCCTTCCTTCCACCCTTCCTTTCCCCTTCTGACCTCCCCTCCTCTTCCCTCCCTTCCGCTCGACTCTCCCAACCCACCTACGCATGGCAGTCGGGAGGCATTCAGCGCAGAAACGCACCGACGCTTACCTCGATCAGCGAGCAGGTGAGAAATTAAGCAACCACATTTTCACTACAGCTAAACCGCTGAGATATGAAGGCATTGTGGAGTGTAACTCCCGTGTGTTTGTGGTGCACTGCTGATTATCATTGTGGTAAAGACTTTTTCTCCCATGACTGTAACCCCTCTTTTGCCCATCTTGCACGTCTTTGGCCCCTGCGGTACTACTCCCTGTCTTGCCCATCTATGAGGCCCCATTTTTCTCTAAACCGCACTTCTGTATATTCTCCAAATCTCCCTCCTTTCCAGGTGTACAACGGACGGTACTCCCTGGTGCTGATCTTTGAGGCCCCAGCTCTCTCGAAAGCGGATTTCACGGAGAGGCAGGCCAAGTTCACATCCTTCTTTGGGCCGGGCGTGCAGGCTTTGATTGGTAAGCCGGAGAGGCTACGCCTGCTGGTTGATTGATTGATGATGGTGTCTGGTGTCTGTTGCACGTGGTATAGCTTTGCCTACTGGTGGCAGGTCAATACGATTTTCCTTTTTGGACTGGGCGAGCAGGCGTTGATTGGTGAGGGAGGGGAGTTAAAGGGAGGGAGGTAGAGGTAGGGCGCAGAAGGGTGGGATACAGCTGGGGCTGATGGCTGTGGTGCCCGTTCCGTTCCGCATGGTGTCAGCCCGAGGTGGCGTTCTTCTTTGGGACAGACATGCAGGCTTTGATTGGTGAAGGGGGGAGGTGAAATGGAGGGAGGTAGAGGTAGGGTGCAGAAGGGTGGGATACACCTCAAGGTTGATGGCTGCTTCCTTTAAATCCCTCACACTCTTTCCTTTTAGTCCCTCGCACTCTTTCCTTTTACTCCTTCGCACTCTTTCCTTTTAGTCCCTCGTACTCTTTTCCTTCTATTACCTCGCACTGTTTCCTGTTATTCCCTCACACTCTTTCCTTTTATTCCCTCGTACTGTTTCCTGTTATTTCCTCGCACTGTTTCCTGTTATTCCCTCGCAGTCTTTCCTTTTAGCCCCTCGCACTCTTTCCTTTTATTCCCTCGCACTCTTTCCTTTCAATCCCTTTCTTGTGCACTTTCTCTGATTCCGCCCCTCAGTTACTTCCCCACTCCCTTCCTCTCCCCCTCTTACTCCTTTCCCCTCACTGCTTACGTCCCTCCTCCCATTGATGACCATCACTTTCTTCCCACTCTCTCACCAAAGCTACTTTACCAACCCCCCTTCTTTCCCCACCTCTCTCCGTTTCCTGCTGCCCCCTTAACTCTGCATTCCCATCCTCCCGATCCCTCTTTTTCTCCAACCCCCCTCCCTGTCCTCCCTTTTCCTCCCCCTCCCTCCCTCCTGCGCATCACAGAGGAGGTGGGACCCAAGACCTTTGCCGTGCGCCTGGTGTCAACCTAAGCTGGCAAATTTTACTTAGTTATTGCACCTAGTGTGAGCCGGCAAGCCTTAAAGCCCGTATGCAAAATAGTGACCCCCCCCTTCTAGTTGGGTCCATTTGATATACGGATTCAGAGGTTTTGTTTGTAGGGTGTAATGTGTTGCACTTTTTCTTTTTTTCCTGATACTGAACCATCTTTCCAATTCTGATCGAGGAAACTGGTCGCAGGGCTGGGCAAATGTGTCGCAAGGGGTGCCAATTGCACATTCGTGCCACATTCACATTCTCATTTCGATGTCCAGGAAATGATCAAACGCAGAGCCAAACACTTGCATTGGCAGCGCCCGAGCCTTCTGTAAAAAGCGAGAGCTGTAGGAATGGGTTCGGGGTGTGATGGGTGCGGAGAATAAGGGGGCAAAAGTTACTGGTTGGGCGATGGGAGGGGCATTGGGGAGGGGAGGGCACGAGGGCGACGGTACGGGACGGGAGGTGCGAGCGCGAATGCGACGGGAGACGAGAGAACGTGAGCACGAGGGAGATGGCAGGGGAGAATCTGGGTGCGAAGGCGATGCGAAGACGGGCAACGTGAGCGCGATGGCGGGGGGAGGGGAGAATGTGTGGTGCTTGGGAGAAGGGAGGGGAGTTTCTGAGCCAAAAGGTGATGGGAGGGGAGACCATGAGCGCGACGGTGATGCGATGGCGGGGGGAGGTGAGAACGTGAGCTCGATGGCGGGGGAAGGGGAGAACGTGAGCGCGACGCCGATGGGAGGGGATGGCGTGAGCGGAAAGGGAGAGAGGAAAGGCGACGGGAAGACGATTCGGAGTGATCGCGAGAGCGACGAGGTGGGTGATGGGAAGGGAGTTAGGAGGGCTGACGGGAGGGCGATGCGAGGCAAGCGCAAGGGCGACGAGGTGGGTGATAGGAATGGAGAGGAAGAAAGGCGATGTGAGGACGTTTCGGGGAGAGCGCGAAGGCGACGGGACAGGTGATGGGAGGGGAGGGAGGAAGGGCGTGTTGAGGGCGTTTTAAAGCAAGAGCGACGAGGTGGGTGATGGGAGGGGGAAGAAGAAAGGCGATGGGAGGGGAAATCGGGTTTAGGGACGAGAGAGCGTTTCGTGCGAGCGCGTGGCGATGGGGTGGGCGATGAGATCGCGAGGGCGACGCAACGGACAGCGACGTGGGCGTTTCAGGCCGAGCGGGAATGTGACGAAGTGGGTGATGGGAGGGGAAACGGGGTGGGCGACGAGAGAGCTTTCCGTGGCGAGCACATAGGCGACGAGGTGAGTGACTGGAGGGGAGTGAGAAAGGGCGCCGCGTGGGCGTTTCGGGACCAGCGCGAAAGTGACGAGGTTGGTGATGGTAGGGGAGAGAAGGAGGGCGACAAGAGGGTCTTCGTGGGATGGGTGATAGGTGGGGAGACGGGGGGAGTGACGAGATGGGAGGGCTATTCGAGGCGAGCGTGGTGGCGACGAGGTGGGTGATGGCAGGGGCGAGTGGAAGAGCGACGGGAGGTCGACTTGGCGAGAGCGGCACGGAAACGAGGAGGGTCATAGGAAAAGAGAGAGGAAGAACGGCGGGAGGGCTATACTAAGCGAGCGGATCAAAAATGGCGTTGGAAAAGCGGTGCGATAAGTTGCGCGAAGCCTTGCGATGCGAGTAATACGACACTTCGTCGTTTCGGGTGTAAAAATGTTAGAGATGAAGGGGGGTTGTAGGTGGGGAGAGATAACGCGGCGAGGGAAAGGAAACATGGGCGACGACGAGGAGGTTGACGATTGCGCTGCGGGCGGGGAAAAAAGCACTGCGCTACTAGGCCACGTATTACTAAATCACGCACTCGTGCTAAGTCGATAACAAACGTGGTCGTCGATAATTTAGTGCCTATGACACAAGCACCTAAGCTTTCCGCTATACTATGCGTGACAAAAAACTAGTAAGGTAAGGGAGTAGAAATTAGGCAGTTATGAATCCAGGACCAGCTTGATATTGAAGTTGGGCCTTGCGATGGAAACCATCGCCAGGGAACGGTCGTGCAAGTGCAGGTCGCAGAAATGTGAGCGGGAAAGTCCATTCTGGCGGGAGCCACAACATCCCATTTTGGCTCAGAGCCAATCACATGAGCTCACTCTGCCCGCACGATTTGTTTCAAGCAGTGTTTTGTCAGACTTGTTTCACTCTCGCTTCTCTTCAAAAAAACTCTGTCGCAACACCTCTTTCAAGTTGGGACGGGGGTCGCTATTTTGCATGCGGGCTTTAAGCCACCGAGTAGAATCCACCTTGGCCGAGCAGGGATGGGTGTGGCTGAGGCCTGGTCGAGGGCAGTGCCTCACGGCCATGGATGGGACAATGCTGCGAATACCAGGACATACTAGTTGGACTCAAGCTACATATTCAAAATTGTAAACTTATGCATATTTCGAAGATGTTCCTTCGAATCTTTGAGGAGTCGGATAGGAACCAATTGGCTCACCCGTCTTTCGCGAAAGTCCCTGGTTTCGCCGAGACACTCCCAAGGTGCTGAGAGTCCGCCATTGTAAGGATTTAAAAATCCTTACTGAGGCACTCGTTAGCGAGGTCATCCCGAGGGTCACGCGACAAACCTGTTCGGCCTATTTCGTCGGCTGAACCACTCCCGAGTCGGCCTCCGCCCCAATCGCAACCATCACCGAGCCATCCTCGCCCGACCTCCCCGCCTAGCTAGGATTTCCCCTATTTAGTCGTACCATCCTCATTGTATCGTCATTCGATAGTTCAACATTCTCGTTATTCGTTTTACTGCGCACTCTGCAAGTTCATTCATAACAGCCATATCATGACATGACAGGTCACCCAACGTGGACAGTAAATGGGTCGCCCTTCACGAACACTGGCGAGGTTTTTGGCCGACCGAATTGTCGACCAGAGCTCTTCAGTGCAATGTTACACGCCCTTTTAGACCGCCCCCCCCCCCCCCCTCCCCTCCCAACAACACCAACCCCCTTCGTTCCGCTTGTGCTCTGCTCCCTAGAGTACGTCTAGCTCGATTACTTAGTATTCCCACGCATGTAGGCTCAGAGCAGGAAATAGAAATGGCCTGAATTTAAGGGCCGGCTTCGTCCGCTTCCCGGACATTTCAGGGTTTGTTTCGGGCCAGCTCAGCCTCGTACGGGTTGGACCCACACCAATCGACAGCCCTGTTCCCCACCCCCTCCCAATTACCTCTCACCCCCACGCACCCACCGGGCCATCTCTCTACCACGCGCTCCCACTCTCGCCCCTCTCACTCTCCCCCACTCGCCCCTGCTCCGCCTCCACTGCCCTCTACCGCGCTAAACCCCTTCACTGGGATCTACCGCGCTAAACCACGTCCCCCGCCGTCCCCCTCCCGCCCCTCAGCTCCCCAAACTCCGCCCAGCCCAGTCCGCCAGCTTCCGTGGCGGCATGGAGGTGGCGGGCCCGCGGCGGGCAGGCGTTCGGCGAGTGGAGGAGGGGGAGCGCGTGGTGGTGTACGAGGCGCGGGACGCCATGCGCATCGCCACCGTCACGCCCACCCGCTCCCTGCAGAACCGGTCAGACCCACGGTGGCGCGCGAAGGGGGGGGGGGAGGGTGGTGGCGCGCGGGAGGGTGGCACGCGGGAGGGTGGCGCGCGGGAGGGTGGCGCGTGGGAGGGTGGCGCGCGGGAGGGCGGTGCAAGGGAGGGTGGCGCGCGGGAGGGTGGCGCGCGGGAGGGTGGCGCGCGGGAGGGTGGCGCGCGGGAGGTTGGTGCAAGGGAGGGTGGCGCGCGGGAGGGTGGTGCAAGGGAGGGTGGTGCAAGGAAGGGTGGCGCACGGGGCGGTGGCGCATGTGGGGGTGGCGCACGTGGGGGTGGCGCGAGGGAGGATGGTGCAGGAGCGGTGAGACATGGCTGTGGGGCAAAGGGCAGTTGGCGGGGCCTGTGTGAGGCAGCTTAGTGGGGATGCGTGATGGCCGCGGGGCGGAGTGGGATGAGGGGCACACCTATGGTCCCCACTCTTCTCCATGCAATAATTCCCCCACTCGGCGTTGGCCTGAGCCCTCTCGACTCCATTTCCCCCCTTCCCCCCACCCTCCCTCCCCACCCTTTCGCCCATTTTCCCCCTCCCCCCCACCCGCCCCCACCCTCCCTCTCCCCCCTTTCGCACCAGCTTTGGAGTGTTCCGGCACAGCGAGTGGGTGGGGCAGCCGGTGGGGTCGCGGGTGCGGGCGGTTAAGGGAGGCGGCTTCGTGCACTTGCTTGCACCCTCGCCTGCCCTCTGGACCAAGGTGAGGTGCGGTGAGGGGTGGTGAGGTGAGGTGAGGTGAGTTGTGGTGAGGTGAGGTGAGGCGGGGTGGCGAGTAGGCGGCGTGGAGCATGTGCGAGCAGGTTCAGTTGAATTGGGTGCTAGGATTTCAGTGGTGTGTCCACCACAGCAGCACACCCACTGCATCGCCCACCACATCACACCCACTGCATCACACCTCACCTGCCGCCCACTTGCCTCGTTCCACCACCTCCCACCGTCAACTTCCTCACCCTCCCCCCCATACAACACCCCCCCCATTCCCCCCCCCCCACCCCACCAGGTGCTACCGCACCGCACGCAGATCCTCTACCTGCCGGACATCGCTCTCATCATCGCCCGCCTCGCCGTGACGCCCGGCGCTGTGGTGCTGGAGAGCGGCACCGGCAGCGGCAGCCTCTCGCACTCCCTCGCGCGCGCCGTGGCGCCCACCGGCCGCCTGCTCTCCTTCGATTTCCACCACGCCCGCGCGGAGCAGGCGAGGTGAGCAGGCGAGGTGAGCAGGCGATGTGAGCAGGCGAGGTGAGGGGGAGGGAGGGTGAGGCTGCATGCGTGGCGGCAGCTGCCATGCTTCCTCATGCTGCAGGGAGCAGGGGCGCGCAGCACATGGCAGGGGCGGATGATGAGGAGAGGGGTGCGTGCGTGCCACATGGCATGGGCAGGCTGGGGAGAGCCCGAGAGGAGGTGAGGGGTGTGAGGGGAATGCGAGTGACTGGCGAGCTCCCCCTTCCTCCCTCTGACCACCTGTGTCGTGCCCTGTGCCATGTGCAGGGCGGAGTTTGAAGCCAACGGCATAGCGGGCGTGGCCAGTGTGCAGGTGAGGGACATCCAGGGCCACGGCTTCCCCCCTGAGCTGCACTCCTCCGCGCACGCCGCCTTCCTGGACCTGCCCTGCCCCTGGCTCGCGCTGCCCTCCGCCGCCGCGTGCCTGCTGCCGGGCGGGCGGCTGTGCTCCTTCTCGCCGTGCATGGAGCAGGTGCAGCGCTGCTCCCAAGCCATGCGCGCCCACGGCCTCACCGGTGCGTCTCCAGCCCACACGGCCACGCCCGCACGCCTCTCTGCCTCGCATTCCCCTCTTGCACTGCACCCTTCCACCCACCACTGCCCGCTGCTGGCATCTTTCCATTCCATGCCTCGCTCGTTGCTCCACCTCCCCTTCAGCTCATCTCCCCTCCCCCCTTGATCGCTGCTCCCTCCATACCATGCCCCTCACGCCGCCAGACATTCGCACCGTGGAGCTGCTCAGCCGAAGCTACGAGGTGCGGGAGGAAGTCCTCACCGTGCCAAACCTGAGGCCAGCCTCGGAAGCTCCGAGCCTTGAGCCGCCAGGGGAGGGAGAGAATGGGAGGGCCAGCGAGGGCGACGGGAGCCAGCAGAGCGACGGCCGGCCAGCGAAGCGCCGCCGCGAGGAGGAGGGTGGTGAGGAGGAGGGGGTTGGTGACAAGGACGGTGGGATGGAGCAGAGCACAGCAGCGAGGGCGGAGGAGGAGCGACAAGACGGTGATGCGACGGGAGAGGCAGGGGCAGCGGGCAGAGGGAGGAGGGAGATGGGCAGGCGGCAGAGGGGAATGTCGGAGAGCATGGGTGAGGAGAGGAGGTACGTGGCAGCGAGGCCAGTGGCGGAGAGCAAGGGGCACACAGGGTACCTCACTTTCGCCGTCAAGCCCGTGTGACTCCCGTCACATGCGGGGGTCGCCGCTTGTCTACGGTAACAATGGTGACTCGCAGTTTCCAAGTGCATTGGCTCGGATACAGTACTGCCATGCATGAAAATCAACCTCACAACACTCCGAAACCCTCGAGCTTGAACTGCCATGCCCCGGGACAGAAGTTTTGACCCAAGGTTTGTTCAAGATTTTCCTGACAATGATGGTGTTCTAATCATATCTAATTCACATCTGATTGTTCTCAGACTCAGAACATGACACTGCATATTGCGTACACCCAATAGTAGCCCGTTACCACCTCGCGACACTCGCCTCCATACTGTTCATGTCAACACAACCATCATGCTGAACACACCCGGCTCGGCTGGTAACCCACGACCCGATTGTACACTTCGACATTTCCCAACCTCGACATCACGCCAGACGGGGCACCCTTTCGCGAGCGTGATACCGTTGCCGAAACACTTCGCTACCGTAATCCCCAGGATAGAAGACAGTGTCGAAATGTAGTCACCAGTTGTCTTCTACCGGGGTATACTCTTATTGATACGATATGAAAATTGAGTAAGGCATTCCCGTATGCTGCAGGAGCCGACTCTACCGAGTATGAAGTCGAGGAGTCAGAAGAGTCGAAGCGACGGCAGCAACCGTCAGATCAAGACCGATGCAGGCAAATACATTTGAACTGGAAAGAGCGGGAACAGGTTTGAAACGGGTTCTCGCGCCGCACGGTTGAACTTCGCTGTAATAAGGGAATGTATCCCTCAGAGTACCTGGCTAGTCTAGGTCTCTTCGTATTCCCTGTAGTCTATATATAAACTCGATGTATGCATGTTTTTAATCATCTCAGTCAATTACATTCACTCTGACCTGAGGTCAATACTTCCGCTGCAACAACTCGACCTGCGATCAACCTTGGGACGATCCTTCGCTATGTCCTGTTTAGGATTGTAACATGGTATGAGAGCTACTCAGGGATTCTTCGCAACATCACTTCAGTAAAATTCGCCGAACCAAGATCTGGCGAGCGGCACACGCACCAAGACCAAGATGGCCGGAGGATCCGGAGGCCAAACAAATCTGACGGCCGAAGGACAATCCAACCCGGCTGCGACAAATGAGGCGACAACCACGATAAGCACAGCTGCACTCGAGCAGTTGTTTTCGCGACTATCGGCTATGGAGAAAGATCTCCAAGCACTGCGCAAAGGCGACGCGGGAACCTCCTCGCAACCAGCACAACCTGCTCAACCGGCCACAAAAATCTGTGATACCGCCGCGCACACCTTCTCCCTCGACACAGACAAGTCAACACCAACAGCCCCCCGTCCAAGTGAAGAAGCCATCAATTCTGCGCAAACACGTTTTCTCAGTGTTTCAAAAATCAAGACTACCGCCGCGTTCAACGGCAATGACTTCTATACATGGAGTTTTGAGCTAGAGCTCCTCCTACAGACAGCGCAAATCTACCATTATTTCGACGGCTCCTATCCAAAACCGGTGGAAGACACCGAAGACGCCCGGGCTCAGTACTACAGTGAGTCACTCATGGCGTACAGCGTGCTGCTAAGGAACATGACGCCTGCGGAGCAACTCGACATTCGCTCCTATAAAGAGAGCGCCGCTCCAGCCTTGGAAGCCTGGAAGCACCTCGTCGAGGTATATCAGCCGGAGGATTCAGTCACCTCCAGCAGGCTCCTGCAGCAACTCATGGAGACAAAGATGGGGAACGGGGAGAAAGTGAATTCGTACATTAATCGTTGTCGGAACATTCGTGATCAAATCACGAAGCATGGAAGCGCAATCTCGGAGGAAATCTTCGTCAACATAGTCCTTCAAGGACTCGGGCCCGAGTGGAAGCCCTGCAAAGCGCTACTCCGACAAATGGGGGTAATTTCGGAAGCTGCCTTGTGCGCCGCTCTCCTGACAGAACAGCAAGACATGGACTCAAGCAAGTCCAACTCCGCGCCACGACGGAACCAACTCGCCTTCTACGCCGACAATCAAGAAGAGCGACAGAAACCAAGGCGCCACTACTGCAAAATATGCAAGATATTCGGACACTTAACGGACCGTTGCAGGTACCGGTTCAACAATCGCCCCCAGAATTCCACTCACCAAAACAACTGGGCTGGCCGACAAGACGCTTGCAACCTTCAATCGCAAAACCAAGCTCCTCGTCCACCTGCTCAACAACACCAGCAGCAACAGACACAAACACCACAGACCGGAGCTGCAAGAAACGTAATCGCGAACATGGAGACAAGACGTCGCCCACGAGCTCCCTCACCGGACGAAGAGGACGAGCCTATCGGCAGGTTAATCCAACCTGAGGAAGGGTGGAACAATCCCTTCACCGAAAACTCTTACTACAACGACGAGGACGAGCAAGATTGGCATCAGCCAATACAACTGTGGGAAAGCCCACCCCACGATCATCAGCACTACGTTCCCGTGGGATGGAGAGAAGATGAGTTTTATGAGAGACGATACAAGGCGACTCTGGTGACACCGCGGCTCGCACTTCTCCTGCGCAACAACAACACCAATCATAACACCTGGTACCTGGATAGCTGCTGCGGCCAGCACATGGTGGGACCTGTCCGATACATCTCGAACATCAGCCGCGCTCCCGCCACCTACGTCACCGTCGCCAACAACGAGCAACTGCCCGCATGCGCGCAAGGCACTGTGGTGCTGCAAGCTCGTGACAGCAACACATCAAGTTCAATGACGTGCTCTACGTGCCGGATCTTCGTTTTAACTTGCTGTCCGCAGGACAACTCAGAGACTGCGGAGTCATGCTCGCCACGGACCCCTACACGCGCGACCTCATCCTCACCTACGCTCCTCCAGACACACCCGTCGAGTCGCACAAATATCTCGGAAGAGCTCGCTCGCTCAACGGCGTTTACGTGCTCGACTTCGATATTCCCAACTTCCAGGCGTCATCAGACGAGCTTGTGGACCTCGTTCCCCTGGAATTTCCACACATGAACGTGGAGTCATGGCAGCATCCGGACGGCCGACCGTGGCCCTCATCCTCAAGAGATAAATCTGCACCAACCCGGCCCCGATGGGCTCTGCACCACATGTTTCACACCCACGGCAAGCCGCACAGAAAAAGTGGAGAGAGGTCTTGCGGCAATTCAAGAGGAGGAAAGCGCCGAAGCTGAACCTACAGGCATGACAGAAATGGAGCTCACCGTCACCACTCACCGCGTTTTCGGGACCGGAGATGAGAGGCTTGGGCTGACGGAGCAGGAGCGCCCAACACCGCGCATTGAAACTCTCCGCTGGATCCTGGAGGAAGCACACGCTACAACCTTCGACGAGGAGAATCGCCCACGCCCTTACCCCCGCGACATCTATCGCACTATTGACAAGGAGTGGAAAGATCCCGGCAAGCCCGAGGAACTCAGCATAAAAGATGAGGAAGAGAAAGCGGCAGCAGAGGAGAAAGAACGTCTGTACCACGAGCGCATCGCTGCAGGATGGAGCCCGGAATCAGGACGGCGCGGAGGCTGGGGAGATCCTAGCACCGCCGACGCAACATGGGCATCCGCAACTGGCGCATCCGGCACCGTGCAAGGATGGGGAACTGTCGGCTGGGGCGATGCAGGAGGATGGGGCGACAACGACTACACAGATGCCCCCCCCACCAGAGAAGAACTGAAGGAGATCGAGAGAGAAATTGCCGCCGAACGCGGAGAGCGACCCCCACGAGTCGTAATCCCTCTCGGACGACCCCTGCGCAGTCGCCCATCTCCGCCACAACCACCCTACAACTGGGTATCGACCTGGTCAACGATTGAGGAGGGGAACATACCATCAACCCCGCCTCGCGACGCGCTTGGACCAATCTCCCGACCAGATCCATTCGCCAGACTCATCTAGGGCACCAGGAATCCACTCAACACCATCCCCGACCGCAACTTCCTCGCGCTCTACCTCACGACAGCACCTGCAGATGGGGAGACAGCAGCAGAACCAGAGGAGGAGGAAGACGAAGCAGAGCCAGGAGAAGAAGAAGGACCCGTGCTTGAAACCCCGTATGAAACAGAAGAAGAAGCAGCCGCATACCACGCACGTTACCTGCGCACCCCTGGAGTTCGCGCAGAAGAAGATCTCTGGCATCAGCGACTCGGTCACCCCTCGCTCCAGACATTCAACAACTGCCTCCGCGCCAAAGTTTTTCTTCCAGGAGCGCTCTTACGTCCCGACGGCACGGAACCTCTCAGCACATCACACCCAACCACCTGCACCGTCTGCCCCACTGCTGCCCTCACACATCAAGCCTACCCTTCACTGGAGCCGAGTACCAACCGCTATAAGAAGCTGAAGAAGGCTTATAGCGATTTCATCGTAATCACCTGTGAAGGACTCAACGGTGAGAACAACACCCTCACCTTCGTGGACGCGTACTCACGACACGTCTGGGTCGCCAACGCCGACGTCCGCTCCAAGGCTCCTGAAGTTTTTTCGCATCTGGCTCGCACACGCGCAACGACAATCAGGAAAGAAGCTGAAAATCTGGCAGACCGATGGCGCCAAGGAGTTTCGCAGCCATGAGTTGGAAGGGCTTCTCCCGGAAAAGGGGATCAAGCATGACATCTCACTCCCCTATGCCCACCAGCAGCAAGGCGTCGCGGAGCGAGTCAACCGCACCCTCATGACGAAGTTTCGCGCCCTCATGAACCAGTCCGGCCTACCCAAGAAGTATTGGCCGTACGCCATGAATCACGCCGTGCGTCTGCACAACCTCCTCTCCACCACGGCGAACAGGGGAAATCTCTCCCCGCACATGAAGTGGACCGGGACAAGGGGAGACACCTCTATGCTGAGGGTTTGGGGGTGCATGGTGCAGTATCGGCCGACATCCGCGACCATCGGGAAATTCACACAACGTGCACGATGGGGAGTGCACCTGGGGCTCAGTCACGGGTACAAGGGCTGGCTGATCCTTGACATCGACAACGACAAGATCGTGCCGGCGCGCGACATCC